TGGAAGTTCCTGGCCACCGCAGCCTCGACCTGTTGGGCTCCGGCAATCCTTCCACCTCAGCCTTCCAAGTAGCTGGAACTACAGGCACGCGCTACCACGCTCGGCTAGTTTTTGATTTATTGTAGAGATGAGGTCTCACCAAGTTGCCCAGGCGGGTCACGAACCCACGGGCTCAGGCAATCCACTCACCTTAGCCTCCCAAAGCGCTGGGAATACAGGCTGAGCCACCGAGCCCAGCTTAGTGGAAAACATTTTAAGAGTTAGCTTGCTGCTACTAAAAGAAATTGGAAAGAAATGACACTAGAGAGAAAAGCAAAGGCCATATAATAGGGGCCCTTATACATACTACGGAGCTTGGTCTAGACGGTGTAAATGAAGGGGAGCCTTGAGTCTGAAGCAGGAAAATGGCTAATTCTTTTTTTTTGTTGTTTTGAGTCGGAGTCTCATTCTGTTGCCCAGGCTGGAGTGGAGTGCAGTGGCATGCTCACAGCCACCACAGTCTTGACCTGCTGGGCTCAGGAGATCCTTCTGCCTCAGCCTTCCAAGTAGTTGTAACTACAGGCGTGCACATGACACCCAGCTAATTTTTAATTCACTGTAGAGATGAGAGCTCACCAAGTTGCCCAGGCTGGTCTCAAACCCCTGGACTCAGGCAACCCTCTCACCTCCGCCTCCCAAAGTGGGTGACGGAGTGCGACTCCAATTAAAAAAAAAAAAGAAGAATATGATCATAGCAGGGTTATAGAAAGAAAAATATAGCAGCAATGAGAGGGATCCAAAAAACCTAGAATTTATTTATTAAGAATTGTGGGCCGAGCACAGTGGTTCAAGCCTGTAATCCCAGCACTTTGGGAGTCCAAGGTGAGAGGACTGCCTGAGCCCACAGGTTCAAGACCAGCCTGGGCAACTTGGCGAGACTTCATCTCTACACTAAATCAAAAATTAGCCAGATGTGATAGCACGCGAGTACTTGCAGCAACTTGGAAGGCTGAGGCAGAAGGATCATCTAGGCCAGCAGGTCGACCCTGAAGTGGCTGTGAAAGTGCCACTGTACTCCAGCCTGGGCGATGGAGTGAGATTCCAACTTAAAAAAAAAAAATGTATTCATTCTTACATGTTTAAACTTGTCACTTTCTTTTCTTTTTTCTTTGAGTCAGATTACAGGTTTGAGCCACCATGCCCAGCCTTCAGGTCCTTCTTTATGAGTAGTTAAGCAATCTTGAGAGCAGAGGATGTTTCTCAGTCAATTTGGTAGTCAACCTGGAAGGTATATTTTTTTCCAATGGCTTGTTTAATCTCATTTTGAAACTCCTCTTAGAGTTGGGATACGTCACTTTAAAACATTATTTATTGTTTGTTTGTTTGTTTGAGTTGGAGTCTCACACTGTCACCCAGGTTGGAGTGCAGTGGCATGCTCACAGCCACCGCAGTCTCGACCTGCTGGACTCAGGTGATCCTTCTGCCTCAGCCTTCCAAGTAGCTGGAACTACAGGAGTGCGCCACCATGCCCAGCTAATTTTTTGATTTATTGTAGAGATGAGGTCTTGACAAATTAGCCAGGTTGGTCTCGAACCTGTGAGATCAGACAATCCTCTCACCTAAGCCCCTCAAAGTGCTAGGATTATAGGCGAGAGCTACCATGTCCAGCCTAAAAATATTTATAATTATGGCAAATCTTTTCTCTTTCGTGGACTTATACTTTTGAAAACAATAAAAAAAAGTCATTTAGAACAAAAATGTATTTTCATAAACTGTCCCTAAAGGCAACTCCAAGAGTCTCCAAAATGTTTTGTATCATTCATTGTATAATCACTAGACCAATGCACCCAAATTAAAGCACAATGCTCACTTAAATACCTATATTTGCATAAATTTCATTCATTCATATGACAAATACTAACTGAATGTTTCTCTGTCTGGCATTCACGTAGACATCTAGGATATACTCACAGTAAAGAGCCCTACCATGGTAGAACTTGCATTCTACCAAGTGTGAGACAGACACAAAAACTAAATACAATACTTACATAAATTATGGACTATGTCATATGGTGATGAGTGCAATATTGTCCCTCTTCTACTTAAAATCCTTCAGTAGCTACTCACTGAGTTTAAGATGAAGTCCAAAATGGCTTACAAGCACGCCAGCCTCTCCCACCTTTCTAGCCTCCTCGCCCACTGTGCACCTGTCAGACTGGCTGCTACTTCTCTGTTCCACACACAGTGCTTCTTCCCACTTCCATCTATGCTTTCAAGGAGTCTGTTTATGTGTTTGTGGCAGTGGAGGGGGGGATAGGCAACAAATAATAAGCAATAGCTTATCAAAAACATATCGAGTATACTGAAAGGTAACAAGTACTATAAAAAATGAAAAAGATGAACTGGTATAGGGTTTAAATAAGGTTTCAGGGAGAAAGTGAGAGCTGCACAAAGATCTGGAAGATGTGGGAACCCTCAAAAAACCTAGATTCCCTACTTGTAGGTGAGTGAAAAAGGAAAGAAAACAACTCACCAATCTTTATGGCATGTTGTGGGTGCTTTCGAATGAGCTGGACAATCTGGTGGGCAGCTTCTTGTCGGGAAGGAAGAACCAGGTCTGGGTTGCAATTGGTGTTGTCTAGGTATAAAGTATGGATCTGCTTTCCCAACGTCAGCGCTGGCTCCTTTAGCATGGATGGTGTATATCGAAAATCACCTGGAAGAACATGTATATGAGGGCAGGGGTCAGAAACACAAAAAAATAGAAAACAGGCCTGTCCCACCCCCAATAAGAAATGGGTGTTTGCTTACTAGCCTGCAGAAAAAATATTATGGGGCTAGGCACAGTGACTCACGTCTGTAATCCCAGCACTTTGTGGGGACCGAAGTGGGAAGATCCTTTGAAGCCAGGAGCTCAGGACAACCTGGACCACAAAGAGAAAACCCACCTCTGTAAAAAATAGAAAAATTAGCCAGGCGTGGTGGTGCACACCTGTAGTCCCAGCTACTCAGGAGTCTGGGAAAGAGGATCAAATGAGTCCAGGAGTTCAAGGCTGCAGTGAGCAATGGTCTTGCCACTGTACTCCAGCCTGGGCAACTAGTCTCAAAGCAAAAAACAGAAAGGAAAATTAAAAATTATTATTGGGCCTGACACTGAACCATAAAGTATAGCTGCCTAGTTTCTTTACAGAAATGTCTCCAGCTTATTCCAGTTTATAAAATTACTCTTCACGAGGTCTGGACCCTTAAAGAGTGGGAAACCAGTTGAGAAGAGGTCAATCACTGTGCTTACATAGGATGAAGCCAGAAAGTCTTCAGACTTCTATTACCAGTTAAGCTCAGGAAAAGTATTATCTACCAGTAGGCACCTCTCGCCTATAATCCCAGCTACTCTGGAGGCTGAGTTGGGAGGATACGTGAGCCCAGGAGTTGCAGACCAGCATAGGCAATATGGTGAGCTCCCGCCTATAAAAAAGAAAAGTAGGATGGAAACGCTGGCTCTCAAGCCTGTAATCCTAGCACTTTGGGAGACTGAGGTGAGAGAATTGCCTGATCCCAGGGTTCAAGACCAGCCTGGGCAACTTGGCAAGACCTCATCTCTACAATAAATAAAAAAAAATTAGGGGGCATGGTGGCACACATCTGTAGTTCCAGCTACTTGAAAGGCTGAGGTGGAAGGATCGCCTGAGGCCAGCAGGTCAAGGCTGTGGTGGCCCTGCGTGCTGCGGTGGCCCGTGAGCATGCCACTGCACTCCAGCCTGGGCAACAGTGAGACTGATTTTTTTTTTTTAAAGTGGTATCTAGGTTGGGAAGGTGGGAGGGACCCCTTGAGAAGCCCACCTGTATAGAGGATGGTCCCAAAGTGTCCTTCAAAGAGAAACATGACGGAACCAGGGCAGTGATTGGCATCGATGAGGGTTACGGTCATGGTCTCTCGTCCGATTTCATCTAGGGGCAATACATGGCTCTCACCAACCTCCAGGGCTCGGATCCACTGCTTAGATACCTGAGGAAACAGCTGGTCATCCCAGTAACCACAGACTCCCTTCCCCTGATCAGGGACTATCCTTTAGGTGAATAAAGGAAAGATGACCAACTCCTGAGCCAATCCTTGAGCAGAAGCTGTAAGGGGGATTCCCAAGCAATTCGCCCTTCCTCCTCCCACCCCCCCCACCCCCACTTTGTACAACTTTAAATTGAGAGTTCAGAAAACAGTCTATTCGGTTATTCTTAAACTTTCTCCCGATCATAATAATCCCATGGAGGCAATTACAGATTTCCAGGACCCTCACCAGCCGGCACTTTAGGCGGATTTTAAAGATAAGGCAAGTTTGGGAAACGCGGGCCAGCTTACGTAAAAAGACAGGCACAGTTTCCATGGCTGGACTGAAAGATTTCCCCAGCTTACGGCTAAGGCCTCTAAGTCGGTCAACTGGAACCGGCTTAAAGATGCGTTTTCGCCGGGCTCGGTGGCTCAGCCTGTCATCCCGCGCCTTTGGGAGGTTGAGGTGAGTGGACTGCCTGAGCCCCTGGGTTCGAGACCCGCCTGGGCAACTTGGCGAGA